AGGGTTGCGATCCGTTGCCGGACACGAAAAAAGACAAAAAGAAAAAAAAAAAAAAAGAAACCAACTTACAAAGTAACAACTGTCCCAAGTGAACACAGCAGCAGTTAAGAGAAAAAAAGACCCGCGGATGAGTAGAGTAAGAAATAATAATGAAATCAACAGATGAGCTGTCAGGACTGCATAATATCAAAAATACATTACAGACCTCACTTTGATCATCTATCCTATCCTGGGACTTTTTAGATGTCCTCTTCTGCCCTTAGCAAACAAACAATCATAACTCCACAGAGGAAAGAACAGAGAGGATAGGGAAGAGAAGAAACTATACACTAGGACTCATGGAGCACTACTTACATACAAGTGGAAGAGGCAGGCAGCGTGGAGGGAGAGGAAAAATCGGCGCTGTGGTGCTGGCTGCAACTTGAGGAGTGGGGAGCTCTCTCGCATGTCGGAACCGTAATTGATTTGTCTGATCTACCAGAACAACAGTAAGCCATGCACCAGCCTCATTTTATTGCCTGTTTTACACTCTGTATCTGCAGGAGATTGTATTTATTACAGAGCAGGCTACAGCAAAAACAATAATAAACCTAAGATAAAAAACAGCCTTATATTCTACTGACACGCACATTCCAACTTTTTCTACACTGGTGAGGGAGGGAGTTGAGACAGGATCAGGGAAAACCAAAACCTACTAATAATGAAAACATGCATGTAGGAAGTGAAGCAGTCACTACAGAACCACCCTCCAAATCAAATCAGATCTAGTCCCAAGTCAGTCAACTTGATCCTGGCCTGAAAAGAAACCAGATTTATTACAGAAATGACAATAATGGCTGGTAGTTGGTACAGCCCACTTCCTATACCTTGAAAAATTAGAAATAAAGGAAATTAGTAACTTCTTCAGGATATAAGTTACCAGCTTATTGGTAAGTACCTTAGTGGTTACCCTGAAAATAGGTGCAGAAGATGCAGATGGGCCCTAGAAAATAGGGGTTCATTCAGCTGGCATTACACGCAGATGCTCTGTCCATCTCATGGAAAACACAAATGTCAGAAATCATCTGTATCAACAAACAAACAAAAAGGCCTGTTTGTTTGGCCACAGCAGAGTCCAGTGTGTCACCTGCTACAGTGGGCCGTCCACTTCCACCGCTGTGCTTGGATTACTTACTTCCCACCCCACGCAGTCAGCCAAGCAGGTCTTGCACTTGCTAAATTTCCATCCAAAAGCATTTTCAAGTACTCTGAATGCTTACTTACCGATGAGATCATTTTTGAAAACGTAAGAGAAGAGACATGGAGAATGGGTGGAAACTCAACTATTTAAAGTCAAGGCAGTTAACCCTAGAACAAAATTACAGGTTATTTGCCTCACACATCATGATATAACCTCTTCCATCAAGCACATTTCTTGATTGTGTCTAGGACACAAGGTGTGTGCTTATGCCTGTTTATTTTATTTCTTCAAGGATGTGTATTGGAGTGTAGAGGAGGGTGGTGAGAGATATTATGCAATACCAGTTTATAGTAAATTATTTTGGCAGCATTTTGTGCACACTGTCAGCTCAACAAAAACCTCCAATTGTCATAGCCTGCAACAAAGAGGGGGATCAATCTGGGGCAGTGGGGAACTCAGTTAAATATTAAAAAAAAGATTAAGAAACCTTTATGAAACCATTATATATGTGTATATTACATTGCCTTTATTCCAGGTGTTTATTTTTCATCAGGCTATAAGCTGTTTTCCTGTCTGGCCCCGCATGCCTACCTGTCCTAAAGACATTAAAATCCGCCAGCATGATTCAGGATGCAGAAAACCCATATATTCCACTTACATGGCACGAGGGCACCCAACATACACACACACACACACACTTAACACTGTGATGGAAAAAAGGGAAGGTTAGAAGAGGGGAAAGACAACATTTCTCTGTTACAGAGAGCACACAAAAAAATGGCAATCTTAGCTGAATAATTTGTGATTCAGGTAGACAAGGTCATATACGACATCCATTTAAATTGAATAGCTTTTTCACTTTCAGTCTTCCACTTGCTCAAGCTTTCCTCTTTTATTTATGTGGTAACTGAGGGAAATTTAACTGGCATATATTTTTAAGTAACTAAAGAGCAAAGCAATCCTCCAATATCCAGACAGAAAAGAAAATACAGGCAGGTATGAAACTGGGCTACAGTTTAAGGGGGAGCTGGCAGGGTAGATAGATAAATAAACAAATAAAGACAAATTCCACAAGACCTATTGCTACCAACAACAAAAACAAAGGCTTAAGAAACACCAGAAAGCATCAAGGTAGGAGGCAGCACACGGCAGCCATGAAGATGTTTAGGACACTACACCTGGAAGTGCTGATAGGACAGCCCTTAGGCAGGTACACCTTTACCTCAAAAACCTCCTTAGGACTCCACATCACTGCCAGTGGGGAATCAGAGCTAGAACACGCACTCAGCAGGCCAAAAGAGAACATCTATCCCCAAGGTTTAATTCAGTTGCTGGAAGGCCCTGGAGTATGAGTCTAAGACAAGCTTTTGGATGGGCATGTTTGGCCTTCATGTAGAGGAGCTCCATTATGTTTTCCAAAACAGGTATCTATAACATTTTTTTTCTTGCACCCGAACAGCTAAAAAATTGCCCTTTGATTACTCCAACATCTTCCCCAAGGGAACAATATTAAGGAAAATATTGTTGAAAATGATATAACATATACATATAGAAATTAATAATATTTATGCAAAGAATGACTCAGCAGGATAAGCCACAAAGAAAATAGGCCAAATAATATAGCACTGGGAGAGTCACACCTGTTAACAATGAACTGTAGCAGATACACCATGGTTACTTATTGCTCAAAGGTTATTAGCAACAGGTTTCTGGGCTTCTCAGGGAAGCCACAAAGAAAATAGGCCAAATAATATAGCACTGGGAGAGTCACACCTGTTAACAATGAGCTGTAGCAGATACACCATGGTTACTTATTGCTCAAAGGTTATTAGCAACAGGTTTCTGGGCTTCTCAGGATCCTAAGCCACAAAGAATGCTTATCACCATATCTCACCCACTTAACAGAGGACTCAACTTCCTGACTAAAGTCCAATTAATATGATGTATAGGTAACACTGTTTATCCTGTAATCTGCAGTTACTGGCAATAGAGAAAGAAAAGCTCACCAGAGTCCCATTGCTTAAAATGAACAGGGTACCACTACAACTAGGCAGGGGTGAGCTGGCCGGACACATTTGTAATAAGCAATTGCCAGGAACAATAGAAAAAGGGAACAAAATGTAACAGGAAGATTCATCACTGCTATGGGCTAGGCTGAGCTCTAGAAGTTTTTGTTTATACTATCATTTTTTCTTTGTGCCCAAGGCAAATTCCCTGAGAGTTCAAGCTAAGATTTCCTAGCCCTTCCTCTCTTCATCTCCTCTGTGCTATGAAGTCCTTCCTACGCATGGCACCAGACCTGATCCCCTCTGTAACCAGTTGACTATGAGAGTTAAAATGGATGGTGCATCTTAGGAACACAGGGTGCCTTCCCTGGCAACCTGATCAAAATCAACACTTGCACCACTCACTATCCCCTTGGCCAGTTTTATTTCTCTTCACAAAAGTTGTCGCTACCTGACATTGCAATTGTCTCCCTTTCCCACTTGAACGTAGAGACTTTATCAGTTCTGTTCCTTGTTATATTCTCAGTGCTTAGAGCAATTCCTGGCATACAGTAGGTATTCAATAAGTACTTGTTGAATAAAAGAATAAACCTGCTCAACTAACAAAGGGATCTATTTTGGCAAAAGAGATCCTAAATGTGCAAGAGTAAAGTCCTTATTACTAAAGAATCAGTTGAACACAGCCTTTTGGGAATTCAGAAGTGTTTGCATCTCAATTCTTCTATATTATCTATATCTCTCTTTTTTTTTTCTTTTGGCAGCAGCAGGATCCAAACCCTTGACCCTTGGTGTTATAAATATTATGTATATCTCTTGTCTCAAAGGATGTTCACACATTTCTCCATTCTTTCCCATTTACAGACAAGCAGAAGAAAGAGAATTCATGAGTAAATCATGATTAAATCCTACATTTGTCCTAAAATCTATACTTGACCTTCAATCACAAAGACTTCCCACTCATAGTGAGAATTAAACTGGGATTTAAAAAAGAGGTAATTTTACTTTCACACAACTGGGAAGAAGTGTCTTCTAAAGACATAATAATTAAAAATGAAAGAGCAACATAGAGGCAGTTCAGGTAAAGAAATAAAATGAGGTTTTGAATTATGCTTTTCCAAAATATAAAACAAGATCCCTATAGATGGCTAAGTAGATGCCTGGGGAAAATTCACATTCGGTGCCTGAAATGGAGCAAGCTGTAGAAAACATATAAGCTGAAGTCCTATGTGGATAAGCAAACATATTCTTGGAGCCTCTGAGCCACACAGCTCGATTCAGACACCCGACTCACCCCAGATATGTCCGCCACACGGTGGATAGGCACTTCCTTCTTGCTATGCAATCCTTTGCCGTTCTTAATAGCTCTGTAAAGGAATAAGAGAAAAGCCAATCAAAATTAAAATCACAGTGGGGAGGAGTAGAAGGGTGGGAAAATGGGGAGAGAAGCTAGGGTTCTTAAATTGGGGATGTGTCACTATATAAGTGACATGTACACTGCTGAGTAACCATTGTGCAAGAGGACTTGGTGGAGGGAGAATAAAAGACTGTTCTTCCCCTTTATAAACCCAGTTACCAGAATTTGGCTGCCAGTTTCGGCTAACAGTGTGCCTGGTAATCAGGGAGTTCCCTTGTTTCCAAATTAAAGGCATTGTTTCAGGACAAAAGAAGAATCAGTTTGGAAGAGCACACTACTAAGAAACAGAAGTAATAATGTTTCCTTTAAGTGTTTAATCACATGAAACATTTTAAATGCAAAGTATGCAGCTAGTGTTCCAATTCTAATGGAAATAAGTTTCTTCCAGGTAAAAAGATAAGTTGCCCTCAATGAAGCAATATTCTACAGAAAAGTCATTTAACAGTACAGAAAAAAATTAGCCAGTGCTATATAACTGACATTAATTCTCATTTCCAATCAGTCTCAGGTTGTAATAACAGGAGATTTGACAGGGTACTCTGGGACTGCCACACATTTGACCATGGGTTAGTTTGTTCCAATCTCCCCTTTTATCTCCTAATCCTTTGAGTGGTAACTTCAGGGACAGAAGCCTAAGCATCACTGGGTATGATCACTGGTATAACAATGAAGGAATAAAGGCTGATTGGTAAATCTCTAAGTCCCTACACTACTAGGTAAGCCTTTCTGTGTACTGCCAGCCTACAGACCTCAGCAGGGAAGAGTTTTGAGTTTTGGATACAGAAACAGAGACTCAAGAATGTTCCCACACTGTGGACGAGCATTGTTAGGGTTTCTGAATTCCAGAGAAAGTATAGAGAAAGCTGCCCAGCCCAGCCCAGACCAGGGCCCTCATACTAGCAACCACATTTCTACTTTCCTCCCACTCAGACTCTCACTCAAGCACCAGGAATAAAGGACACTGCTCTGCAGGGGTTACTTTCGGGGTCCTCACTTTCTAAACCAAACCCACATAAACCAAATTGGGTGGGTATTGTTCAGTGCAAAGTAGAACAGTCCTATTTCTTACAACTTGGACTTTTAATCATCCACCCGAGCCCATTCCTGCATCCTGGGGGATCTGTCTCTCACTCAATTGATTTGAAATGCTTTTGGTTCAGAAACAACAAAAAAACAAACTGAAGCTTTCCTTACTATCTAGTTTCAATTCCATGACAAAGGTAAGAAACAAAATTCTATGATGAGGGTAAGTACAGAATTAACAAAAAGAACAAAAAATCATACACTCAGATCTGAAATGCTCACTGAAACAAAGCATTTCCAAGTTCCTTGAATCCCATGCCTCCTTCTGAATTTGAATCAAGGGCTTCAGCTTTAGAAATTGCTAATGATTTAGGCTACTTCCCCTTACAATTGAGTCTAGTGATTTATCATTTAGGGATCCTGTTCATGGTCACTGACCAAGGCTGATTCTCCCTGACCCCTTGGGATTTGTGAACTAACAGTAGAAGAACTGAGGATGGTTTGTATAAGAAACTAACGGCTAGAAGCCAACTAACTAATGATCCAACTCTTCTAACTCCCTGAGCCCTGCTACATTTAGCCCATGTTCCTATTTCTACAACCTCCTCTGCTACCAACAGGCTCCCCTATTTTGCCACCGTAAACTTGAAGGAGCAGCCTTAGAACAAAGCCTCCATGAGGCAAGACAAGCTTACTCACACCCAGCCTGTACCTCATCCCCTTCAAGGCAAGGCCTGCTAAGCTTTCTGCAGGTCCTCTGGGGCACAAAATGCCTGCAGCCTTATCCTCTAACAAGGACAATCAAAATAAATGGATCTGCCCTCTAAACAGACAGGTTCATGTTAGAGTACTGCTGAACTTGAGGCCTTTCCTGGGGGCTAGAGAGCATCTCATATAGTATGAGGAAAAAAGAATAGGGCCTGAGCAGTAAGTTAGAAAGCAAAGGTCCTCCAGGCGAAAGCAGTGAGGTGGTAAACTAAAATTCTCCTTAACTTTCTGTGGCCCTAAGTAGCTCTGTGCCAGAAACAGAAATCCAGGACTTACCCAAAGCTAAACATTCTACCAAAGGTGGAAAAAAATAACACCCAAAACTGGAAAACATGGATAATAGTGTGCCTATGACATTTAAAGCAATGACAACAGAATTCTTTAAAATTAAGTCTTAATAGTGTAAAAAAAATATGAATTTGTTTCTAAAAAGCATATTATCAGATACTTATTTGCATACAGGAATTAACTTTGGAAAAAGCTTCAAGGACTTAATTTTTTCATGCTTAAAATATGATTGTTAATTTCTGGAACATTCAAGAGGCAGCAAGAATGTAGCATCGTAACATCATATATAAACTGAGAAATAGTTCTTATTTTGTTAATTCTTAACAAAAAAGAAGCAAATGGAAAGTTACCAAAAGGTAGTTAACCACGAAGTTCAAATAATTCACGCCTAGGAGGCACTCTAAAGTCTAAGTGGTAGACCAGACCCAGGCTCCGAAATGCAAAGCATGTGTGAGAAATGAACAAATTGGTCTATTTCAGCTTACATCTCCTTTCCTGTGCTGAGGTTGCTTTGGTTCTTGCTACCACACTGCTGCAAAATGACCCTGAGTGCACCATCTCCAGAAAACATCCCTCAGCCTGACACAAGGTTGATGCCACAGTAAGAGCTTCTTCTTGAAAGAGTATGGGTGGAACCTCCTAGTGTAGAAATTCTGGTATGTATCTCAAAGAGGAAAGGAGCAAAAGCCAAGAGCTGCAGGCTTGCCACAGCTCCTTGCCAAAGGGCATGTACATCTTTGTTCCATACTATGACAATATATGACATGGCTGCCTACGCAGAATTGTATACATGGGAAAGAAACGTGGTGATCCAGGCTCTGCTGAAGACAAGGTATGTTGCCTTGTCACCACTTCTCAGAGGCAGTTTCTCTGGGATAGGTCTGTGGAGCTCTGTCTTGGTGACATGGGAGGGTTTGCTTCCACTGATGCCCGCTCCACAGGGCAAACACTAACACTCCCTCCCCACACTGCCTTTCCTCGCAGGCCACAACCACAGCTCTACATCCCTTTCTGTTAGGCAAGGAATGCAACTCCTGACTTCCAAACTGCTCCTGCTGCGTTTGCTTCATAGCTGCTTCCTCACAAAGGCAGGCTGATGTTCAGGCTGGCCAGGAAAAAGGAAGCAGTGGGACAGAACACAGCCTGCTCCTCTCACAGGCTTTCTTTTCCAAGACACAGCAGGACAAACGTGGCAAAGTCTAGCAGTGTCAATAATGGACAAAAATCACCACCAGCCCGGAAAAGTTAGTACACATCCACATAAAGGGGTAAAACGACAGAAGAGGGATGAAAACTCAGTTTTCTAGGTTGCTTCTAGAAGCTCCTAGAAGGGTGCTATGATGTGGGAGATGAACTCCATTCAGAGCACTGAAAAACCTTTCATTACATAGCTAAGTTTGAAATTCTCATGCATTAGGTGCTACTGCCTTCCCTCTACAAGATAAAACCCACAGCTTTGCAAAGGCAGATGAGGACTTTGTTACAGCGAGATCATCCCCATGTCCTCAGCAGAACAGGATTAGAATCTCAGCGCACATTCTGTGTGAAGGAATAGTTTGCTCTTAGGTTTTGTGGTCCCTAGCTTGCACGGAAATCCTAAGGACCAACTCTTTCCCAGCCAAGTCTTAGTACCACGGTAACATTCCAACCATCCTGTGCTGACGAGCAGCCTCGATCTTATTACCAATTCAATAATGGCAGATAGTTATCTTGAAAAAATATCATAAGCTTACAAAGAAATTCAAAGGATTTATGGTTAGATCTAACCATAACACAATCATAAAATAGTTGTCACATCAGGAATTCTTAACCTGGCAAAGTAAATTAAATTGAGCTTCAGCCAGGATGTTAGAAATATCTAAGAACCACCCTAAAGTATATGTGAATTTTCCTAGGGAGCAGGAGCTTTCAACAGAGCTTCACAAAAAATCTTTCATACATAAAAGGGACCTAAAGAAAATAAAGTGATGGGAAGGAGAGATGGCATATACAGAGGTGGCAGGGAGATGATGGGCAAGGGAGGCTACAGAGCTGAGAGAGAGCAGGAGCCCCTGAACATGTCTGTTCATCTGTAACTTCCCTAGAATGATGCTTTCCTAGTAACCAGCATCCAAGACGTCCCTTAATTCTGCTTTTGCTATATTTAACACTTTCTTCTTTCATACTTGTGTTCACTTGGCCCTTTTGTAACCCTCTTGGTCCCAGCCCTCACCAGTTTATTTCCAGCTGGCATCAGGAATACTGTAACTAAATTCACTCAATTCCTTTTGATACTGCATACCACTCATTCAACATTGCATACCACTACCATATATATGACTTCTCAGTAAAAATCTGTTACATCATTTCACACCCCTACTTACACCCAAAACAAAGACCATGAGCCTGTGAAATCAAGTGGAACTTCTTAGGCTTGGCTTTCATAGTCCTCTACCATGTGGTCCCAGTTTATGTCTTCACATGATTTCCACATCACCCCCTCTAGTCCTATTAGGCCCCATTTTGTCCATGCCTCCTACATGCAGGTTATTACTCATGTGTGTTCACCTGGACTTTTGTTCCCCTTAGTCCTATCTCTCCTTCCAGGCCAACACAATAGAATAAAAGAGTTATTATGTATTTGTAGCCACACCCTCCCTACAGTCATAAGATAATTGCCACATCATGAATTCTTAACCTGGGGTCCTAGGTGAGCCACAGTTAGGATGCTGGGAGTATCAATGAACTCCTTTGAAATGGTCATAAAATTGTATTGTGTGTGTGTGTGTGTGTGTTAGTATGTATCATTCAGCTCAACATGTAATTATAAACTACAACACATAACGTTCATATTGCTTTATGTGTTAATCTTTATTTCTATAGCTAGACTAT